CAGAGGTGAAGATGCCCGGGCCCCCCCCGCCCCCCCCCGCCCCCGGGCGGGGCATTTTCCGCCCGTTCATCCGACCCAAGGGTGCTGGAAACGGCCCAGGGACGGAGAGCGTCACGCTTTCCAAATCTGAAGGTGTTTTTCGTTTGGAGGGACCCTCTCAGCCCCATCTTCAGTCTGCCCAGCTCGCCGTAGCCGATTATAGTGAAAGGTCAGAGCTGTTATCTGGGGGTGCCCAACTTCCACATTTTCATAATGCAACTTTCAAGAGCTTGTATAAACTGCTTAGGTGGCGGCAGGGTGTTCTGCAAAGGGCATGTAGAAAGACTCGATTGACGGGATGTCTTAGGATGATCTTAAGGTCCCTTCCAACCCAAACCACTCTACGATTCTATATAGAAGATGAGAAGTTCCCTCCCTGGGTTTCCCACTTGGGGAAGGGACCGGCTCTCGTGTTCCCATCCAGGCTTTCGGGCTGTGCTCCGCAGCTGTCCCGTCCCTCCTGCACACACAGGCATCCCGCCGGCGAGAGGCATGGTAACTCAGCATAAACCCAGAGTCATTTCAGCCCTGTACATGCTAATAACTGCAGTTACGCTTGTCTGGAATCATGATAAGAGGGAAGAAAAAAATCGTAAAATCTCCGTTTTCAGATAATGCTTAAAACATTGCTCTTAGCAAACTTGAGTCATTCGTGGCTTGTTTCCTGAGAGATACTAAAAATGCCATCGCTTGAAGCCCCGAGTGAACACATGGGAACTGTTTCTTTCGGGGATTAAATCAATTCATTCCGTGCCACATCTGATGTTTTATATATTACATTTTTTCTCATTTTATACTGTTTTTTAAGAAACGATAATCCAAGCTCCTAGGTATATGATGTCCAGGTTTCAACTACAAAGTTTTAGTTAATCTTTATTTATTTACCTACCTTGTGTTCTAGTGACTTAAGTGCTGGCGTAGAACTCTATGGACATCAAAAAGCTAATGCATAAACCAGCAATTCTGTTCTGCGTAAACATCCGCCAAGCTGTTCCGGAGTTTAGGGCTTTCAGAGAAACCTGGCCTGTGATTCCTGAACACTCGTAAGATGAAATATTTTGGGGTACATCTGAAGTTTCAAATAATGGCTAATAAAGGATGATAATAATGTGCATTTCCTTCTATTGGAAGGCTCTCAGAACTTGTCAGAGTGGAGCCCACACGTTAGGAAAGGGAGTATGGGGCCCAAAAGAATAAACTTTGAAAAGCTAGGGCCTCCTCACGTGCAGGGTTCCCCATGATTTTCATGAAAACTCACAGGACGGAGAGCTGGTAGGAGAGGGATGTTATGACACAGCTTTCGGGGCACAGCAGTTTAAACGTAGAAGAGTGAAAACCAGAAGAGAATATAATCAGATAATATCTTAGGGCTCAGCTTGCCTAAATAAAAACGGCAGGATCAGTTTCTCAGCACAGAAGTTCTTGACCAGTGGTCGTTTCTCCCCGCTGAAGAAAGTAATTTTTGCCCAGAAAACCTCTGACCCAGTAAATAAGCAGTACCAATATAATTTTTTCCTGTTGCCTGCTGGAAACTGGGAGCAGCCTGATCCTTCTCCATCAGTGTGGGTCTCCTCTGCCCCCCACCAGCCTAAGGGAGGACAGACCAGCGACAGAAACAAAGCGTTGAGGGACTCTGTCCTAGAGTGAGAACCCAATAAGGTATGAAACAACTGGGGGCTCCACTCTACCAGACATTGAGCACCTCGGTCATCATCCATAAATGTGCAAACATCCGCCTTCCTTGCCACTAGCCGCAGGTTTAAAATTAAGCAAGTGCTTAAAGGGTTGATCCAATAGTTTTTTTATTAACTTCCCTGGGGTTTGGATGAGGCCCTCAGTGGCAGCACCAGCTCACTGCAAACCCCGCAGAACTGAGCTCAGGCGCCTCTCTTTTAATTTTTTGGCGGTTCCTTTTTTTTTTTTTTTTTTTGGCAGAACTTGTAAAATTTCACAAAAAGGCAAAGAAGAGAATTCCTGAAGAAAGTAGCTTTGAAGAAAATTCTTGCTTTATCCCCAGGTATTACCAGAACCATCCTAGATTTCAGAGCTTTTTAAAAAGGGAAAAAAATACCGTGCATGAATAGTCAGTGCTAATATCACAATGAAGATTTGTGCCTCTTTTCACGCAGGGATGTGTAAATCCCAGATAACTGTTTGAGCTATGTTGGCATAGACCCATCCCAGGGGATTCATGCCCTTAGCTGAAGGAAAAACAGAAGTCCTGCAGTAACATCAGGTAAAATTCTGGCTCTGTTACAAAACAGCAGCAAAACTTAAAACCGTTGGGCAACAGTCTCATCTGTTGTATTTATTCATTTCGTGCTGTTCAGAGAAATGACATCCCCAGACTTAAGTCTTCAAATTTACATTTCCCAATGGAAAGCTGACTGCATGTAAAATCCCCCAGGTGCCTTTTCTAGTCCTTTAGTCCTTGGTGAGACAGAAATCCCCTCTGCTTCCAGCGGCACTAACGGTCAAAGCCTGCAAGCTCCGCCCAGACATAACTGGCATTTCTATGGAAGGGTGAATCCAGGCAGCTTTTTGATCGTACTTCTGAAAAAGTGCCATCTTTTATTATGGAAGAATCATATTATGGGAAAGGTATTTCTTTTATGAGAACTGCATGGATTGAGACAGATGACTGAGCAATTCATTTTCTGTCCAGCAGAAGAAAAATGATGTATCTACACAGACACCAATGTCCTAGTAAAGTAGTAGATGCCTTTACAGTCATGAATACACGCGGGCGGTACAGAGATTGTCATGTTTATGCATTGTTCTCTGAAGAAAAATAAAAAAAAATAGTTAGCAAATTTTTGCATACTCTTATTAACTCCTTAAATCTTAAGCTGTTCTTTTCTTTTTAATGCAAAAGAAGAGTGAAGTCCTGCTCCCTCTGATGTCGAAAGTGGATAAATCATTTATTCCGCTGGGAGAAAAAATGAGGATGTAATCCCTGTTCTAACTTGACCAATCTTGTGTTTTGTTTTTCCTTCTCCTTCTTCTCACGTGGATGCTTTCAGAGTAGATTTCCCTTCTCCAATGATTCTTTCATTCCCTCAGGGAGCCAGTGGATGAAGTCCTCCAAATTCCCCCTTCGCTGCTGACATGCGGCGGTTGCCAGCAGAACATCGGGGACCGCTATTTCCTGAAAGCCATCGATCAGTACTGGCACGAAGACTGCCTCAGCTGCGACCTGTGCGGGTGCAGGCTCGGAGAAGTGGGGAGACGGTTGTATTACAAACTGGGCAGAAAGCTCTGCAGAAGGGACTATCTCAGGTACACAACCCACTCGTTCTACCCTCGCTCCCCTTCTTTCTGTCCTTTCAGCTTTGCTTATTCATTTAATTAGCATACCTAGTGAGCAAAGATCCATAAAGCGTTCATTTTTGATTACTCTTAATCGTAAAGCCTGACAGCAGTCACAGTTGTAACGCAGCACCGTTTGCAAGCTCAGGTTTACAATATGGGCTCACGTATATTTGGGGGTTCATGCGCAGACGCTTTACGGTACTGCTGGGCTTCTTCAGTAAGTTACAGGTAAATCCAGAGCTTATCTGTGTGGATTAGGTCACTTACAGTTGTTTGTAGGTTAAATCTTAAAAATCTTGTTGGAAAAAAAAGCGCATTTTTTAATGAAGATGAAAGCATTGCTACGTGTTGTGGGCTAAAGAGAATTATTTGAAAATGTGAAGAATATAGTAAGAACTCCTGGGACTTTGGGGTTGTTGGCATCCGTCAGCCTGCACAGACATAACCTGATGGCTCCAGGCGAACCGCGCAGTGTCAGCGTGGGATTCTGGCAAGTAGAAATCGGGGAAAGGTGATGAATTTCAGCAAGCTCCCCCCTGAGCTGACAATGAACCGGTTCCCCTGAATGGTTTTAAGAAGTTCTGTGCTTCTCCAAGCATTGCCTTGGAGCTGAAAGGTCTATAAAACCAGGTGCCAAGATCGGCGACTGATGAAAGATCATTTAGTTCTCTCGTTTAAGAACACGGTATCCAAGGTAACTGAATTCAATTCATTTTCCCGATGCAGTAATATCAGCTCTATAGGAGATGCTTGATTCCACCAGCCAGCAGGGCTGCTGTACCTGCTTGGTGTCTGAAGTCACTGCCTTTTATACACGGATTGATCCCTGCCTTTTTCTGCATCGCTGGTAAAGTTATCTGGGACACTTCAAGCAGAAGGATGCGATGTGCCGTGTGTTTATTGCAGAGCTACAGCCAGTACAAGAAAGTTTAATTGCACTAATTTGGATCCAGTGGATTTTTAGCGTTCTTAAGCCTGGTCCTGAGTAGACAAGAACTTACCCATTTTGCTGAATCAGATCCTACAAATACACTCATTACAGATATTTTCATTAACATCTCTCTGCCTATCTGTTTTGCCAAAATTTGTAAGTAGAAGGATTAAATTGAGATTAAGATATTTCACAAAAATTTATAATAAAGGATCTCTACATTCTTGATTACAATTAAAGTGTATTGATCTTTGTTGTGCTGGTTGTGTACCATTTCTTCTAAGGGATCCCTAACGACACAGGAGGTCTGTGGAACAGAGTAATGGTGTTTGATATTTTTTCAGCTACCTTACTGAAGGCTAACTTACCTGCCATCAAAAACTAAAGCAAAAACTCAATGGCGTTCCTAATTATGGTGTTCCTGAGCTTTGCCGATGGGAATTTTGCTAAGCAGAAACCGAGTTCTGCTAATGGGGCCACTTGTAAATACTCCACATACACAACAGTCCAGCAGTGATGATCCACTGTTCGTTACACTTTCCAAATACTTATCGTCTTAAAATGGAAGCAACAGAAAGAATGGCAATACAATTAATGTATTTTCTTGCAGTGAAACTCAACGTTTTTATTTATTTAATAATGCAACAGATAATCTCTTCCCTCATTAATGAAAAATTTGGCAACCTTTGTGTAACCTTAGTATTACTTTCGTTGGGCAGAAGTAAACACTGACATCTCCTGGTAGACGAAAGAAATGATGTCTTTTCCCCTTAAAGATCTCTCTTAATTTAGCGGGCATTCTTTTTCCAGTTCAGAAGATGATATGAAGCAGGCACAGCATATGTAAGAGAAGTGTAGGAGGTGGAAAAACTCTTTCCAGAATTAGTATGGAAACTTAGAAGTCAAACTCAATAGGTGTATACTTCGAACAAGTGAGAAAAAAAAAGTATCTATTTCTGCTTATTTATTAATGATTTGACTTACAAACTGTAGCCAGCAGACTGCATGAAAGGCTGGCATTCACACATAGCTGAGCATGTCGCGCTGCTCCTGGTGAATGGCAGTCCATGCTGTGAGGGGAACACATATCTAGTGCATTCATCAGAGGCTCCTTTTAACAGACAATACCGTCATGATCTCAGCAGGGTTTTTCAATGCGGATTAAAGAGTGGTCCAGATCATAAAATTGTTAGGGCTAGCATAAGTATCTAGAAGGTCTTAGCATGTATCCATCTGAAACCCAGCAGGAGTGACTTCATGGATATAGAAATGTGTGGGTTTGAAAGAATCTCCAGTGTGGAGGCAACGACAAGAGACAGGGGAGTCTTAGACCACGGCTTGTGTCAAGTCCTTTCTGTAAACTACGATAGCAACAGCTGAAGATAGGCAAAATTTATCAACGGAAAGGTGATTTCTGTCGATCACAGAAGTGGAAGTGTTAGCGTGGCACAACTTTATGCTATGATCTGGGGAACCTTCACTCCTCCTGAAGCTGCTCAGCAATTCAGGATAAGGTTATTGATCAGAGAAGTCAATTATATTGAAAATACGTGAGGACCTTGGACTTTCTACTTCAGTTTTTGGTATTGCAAAGTTTGGAGTTCTGCTTGGCAGCTTTCCATGTGACCTCTATCTAACTTGGCAATATATGACTAATGGATCAAGGCACTGATGTTGTGTTCTTGTTTTGATTTGGTTTTTCCCATCTCCCCAGCAAAGGAACTCTGCTTACTTCTCTGCTGTTGTTTTTTTAGGCTCTTTGGCCAAGACGGCCTCTGCGCCTCCTGCGACAAGCGAATCCGGGCTTACGAGATGACCATGCGGGTGAAGGACAAAGTGTATCACCTTGAATGCTTCAAATGTGCTGCCTGCCAGAAACATTTCTGTGTTGGGGACAGATACCTCCTCATCAACTCAGACATAGTATGTGAACAGGACATCTACGAGTGGACTAAGATAAATGGAATGATCTAGCAAAGACATGCCTCATAGTTTATAAAAGACATCTCACGGGCGACACCGATGCATAGCTGCAGTGAGGAGATCATCACTTGAGCTATGGGCTTTGTCTAAAATGGGGGGAAAATACCACGGAGTTGGCCCTTTGCAGGCAGTGCTACGTAGAATCTAAACTACATATAGGTGAAGAAGGGAGACCGAAGCAATAGTAGATAGACTGACTTCTGTTAACAAAGGCGTATGGACAATAACTGACATCAGCCGTGTAGGCGAGAGTTGGGGAACAAACAGAATGCGATAACAAATTCTCATAACTGGAAAAAGAGTAGGGACTTCTGTAAAGAGATGTTATGACTTTGTCACCTGCAGACTAGGATTGTGCAATTGAATTTTCTTTTCGTCTTGTTTTAGTTACTGAGTTTAGACGACAGCTCCTAATGTAGACATGAGGGAGAATACTGGAAGAAAAGGGCCATCACTAACGTGGTCATTCTATACGGCCTTACACTTTGGGTAGGAGAGAAAGCGGGAAGCGCGTGGGGTTATTTTTGCATGGATTTTTTTTTCCTTTGAGAATGAACAGTGCATCTTCTAGTCCCAAACTCTTTGTTCAAAAAATCCTGCTGAATAGTTGTTTTCGGGCACTGCTGTTTCAAGATGAGATGTTCCACAGATCATTTCTATACAAATATAAATCTAAAGAGTTGTTCAACTATTTTATTAACTTAGATTATATCGTTAAAATATTTGTTGTGTGTAGTAAGACTCTGCAGCTTTAATAAAAATAACAGAAAATTTGAGTGTTGTAATTTCTTTTTTTTTGAGTTGGGCTGGATTTTTTGTTTGTATTATTTATTTTTTGTAGCAGGGTTTCTACACTTTGTCTACGGCTGATGCCTGCTGGATCCACTTAAGGTCGCGTTTCAAAGCAGTAATGTGAGAACACTTAGGTCTCAGTAAGCCTTGTAGAGTTCTTCATGCTAAGGAGAAATTAGATAGTGTTGTAGGAGAAATTAGATAGTGTTGTGTCACACTGAGGCCCTTTGGTGTTTATGAGGATCTTTTGAGGCTGGTGGCCCACAGAGAAATACATTTGGGTGTTACTTTGCAACAAAGAGAGCCTATCTGATCTCAGAGGCGATCACGTAAGATTAGGGTCTCCTAGAAAGGTAGCTCGTCCTGATTTTGCTCTGGATTATTGAATCCAGTATAATATCACTAGAGCCAATCAATACTTGCTAGTGATCAGGAAGAATTAAGTTCAGAGCCTTTCCTGCAAAGACTGTTGTCACTTGCTTCTTAAGCAAAAAGAAGTTTCTTAGTGTTGTAGTAACACTAAGAACGTGAGAGGTACACCTGGTCAGGCAAAAGCGGACATTCAGTATCTTACTCCCACAGAGAAAAGTAGGGGGGGTTCAGGCAAGCAGGGAATGACCTCGGCATGAAGCCTTTCCAGCTTGCAGGAAGGTCCAATGAGCTTTGTGTGAGCTTGCCTTCAGACCCCTCTGCCTAACACCGACCCACAGACCCATTCCCCGTGAGTTTGCCTAGTCCCTTTTTTTGACTCTTTGGCCTCCATCAAGTCCCAAAGCAACGATTTTCACAGTTTAATTCTATGCTGTGTTTATTTCAAAACCTGTTGCCTGATAACTTCATTGGTTGACCACCATATTGTGAGACATATGAATAGTCATTTCCTATCACCTCTTTTTTCACTATTCTTGACTTTAAAGACCTATATCATATTCCCTCCAACTTATTTTTTCTGAGATGAGTAGTCTAAGTTCCTTCTTGCATGAAAGCTGTTTCACGCCTCTGATAATCTCCGTTTCTCATCTCTGTATGTTTTCTGGTTCTACGTTACCATTTTCGAGAGTGTCACTAGAACTGCACGTTCTGTTCAAACGTACTAAAAAAATAAAGCTTATAACACAGTTGAACAAGTCTGACAGTCCACTCAGAAGACAGTTGGCATGTCCATTCACCCCATCAGTACTAACGTGTAAGGAATAGCACCTAAGCATATGGATATCTATTTGTCTGACTATTTTTAATAAACTTGTCACCTAAGGGATCTCTCATCCAAGTGGCCGTGCTGACCAATGACAACATTTTGCATTTTGCAATGGATATTCTGAGACCCGTTTTTTCTTTTCTTGCTTTTGGTGTCACAACTAGCGTTGGGGACAAAACGTTAAATCAATCTTATTACCAGTGAAGTTGGAAACTATACTATATTTAGGATGAGAGGAAATGGCCTCAAGTTGCGCCAGGGGAGGTTTAGATTGGATGTAAGGAAAAATTTCTTTACTGAAAGAGTGGTTAAACATTGGAACAGGCTGCCCAGGGAAGTGGTGGAGTCCCCATCCCTGGAGGTATTTAAAAGACGAGTAGATGAGGCGCTTAGGGACATGGTTTAGTGGGCATGGTGGTGTTGGGTTGACGGTTGGACTCGATGATCTTAGAGGTCTTTTCCAACCTCAATGATTCTATGATTCTATGATTCCTGGATTACAGCACTGATTACTGGCTCAATACTGACATTTGTGACTGAAGGCTCCAGAAAATTGAGGTCTGACTTTTGGGTTTTTGGGAAACTGAATGCCGTGAGATGGACAGTGTGAATGATAAGAGTACAATTTCTAAATATTTTACATGCAAATAATGTTACTTTCACATTAGAAAACTTGTTAACAGTAGCTTATTTCTTGTTTTGTTCTATCCTTATTTTCCCTTCATATTTACCAGCATTTCAAAGAGTAACTTGCACAGCAAAACAGGCTAGTCTCAAGTTCATGAAATCGGTTAAATATGTGAACTGCATGTGTAAAACATACAGTAATTTGCAATTCAGATGCCTTGCTTTCAGAACCACCTCTGTGTGTTAAAATGTGGAGTTGGAGATCAATTAACCACAACTCAGAAGTGCCTTGAAGCTTGAAAACCAGCAATGCACAAATCAATATTTAATTTGCAGTCAGTCTAGGAGTTAAAAATGTAACAGAAGTTATCTACAAAGTGTATATATTATAAACCATAAAGTGAAATAAATACCAATGTGCACTACCAACAGCCTCAGCAATTATATACTATGAATATTTCAACACAATTTTTTTAGTATCCCCTCCTTTTAACAAAAATTTGGGAATAACCACCCCATTTAAGCCACAAATGGCACGTATGTGCCATTATTTGCATAAGCCAAAACCAAATTTTTTCCGCATATTTCTCTTTCTATCACAGGGAATTAAGTAGGCTTGGAGAGTTTTCTTGTCCTTGGGCTGCTCAGATCCCTAACTGCTTCCCTCCTTCAAATTTCTGCATTCTTCAGAAATTTGAGATATCGCAAACAAATCAAGACATGTCCTTGCTTCAAAACACATTTTAGGCAATTTTAACGATACAAGAGAACACTAAAAATAAGGAAATGCAAAGTTACCAGGATTTCCTGAACAGACTGCGTATGACCTCAATTAGTCATCAGACCAGCTATACAGAAAACATGGATGCTGCAAAGATGAAAACCAGTATTAACTGACACGTGCGAATTTGCAGAAATTCTGTTGGGTCGACGGTTGGACTCGATGATCTTAGAGGTCTTTTCCAACCTCAATGATTCTATGATTCTATGATTCTATGATTCTATGATTCTATGATTCTATGATTCTATGATTCTATGATTCTATGATTCTATGATTCTATGATTCTATGATTCTATGATTCTATGATTCTATGATTCTATACAGAGGACACAATGAGATCATGCTTGAAAAGTATAGTTTGAGGGCTCTGTGATTTAGCTCTTCTCAAGTGATATGCTGACCTCTGGAGGCCATAGGCAGCTGGTATAATTTTAATTCTTAGCCTAAAATGTATCCCTGCCAGCACAGGCAAGAAAACTATGTACCCGAGGAAACTACAGCTATCATCTCTCTTCACCCTCAGTGGCTCCTTGCAAATATTCTGTCCAGCTAGAAACGAAGTCTCAATATCCCTGTTAGTTTACACAGCTTGGTGGATGTCACCAGGACGCTAACGCAGGGTGGAGGTGCACAATCGTTCTTCGGGTCGGTGCGTGGGAGCACATACACAACAGTGAGCTGCACATCACCAGACAAGGTAGTACCAACAGCTTCGTGGCAGATGCCTTTAAAGCTTTCCAGGCCGTGCCATTGCAATGACCCTCTCAGAGCCCCTCTTCTTTCGCCCCTTCTCCTTTCCCTGAAAAAATATACCTCAATAGCACTATTGTACGACCAGGGCAGAGGAGTGCTTACAGCTTCATGAACATCTACTAGTTCATGGCAAGAAAATTTTGCAGGTGATGGCAATCAGCTATAAAGATGATTTTTCTGTAGTCACACGCTAATGATGGAGACGAACAGGTATCAAAGGGAGTGTCGTACGCTGGGGAGACTGGGACTCCACTCCATCCCACGGTGCTGCCAGCTGAAGGGTCTCTGAGCGAAGACCACATGTTTCAGATCACAGGAAGCCATCTGCTGATAGCCCTGACTGTGCAAGGGGCAGCAGGAGATAAAATGAGCTTCTCTTTGACAAAGTAAACCATGATTTTCACTTTTCAGAATTGCTAGGAAGAGGTTTTGAGCCACAGCCTGGTCATACACACATGATGGTGTAACTGACTCTAAAATAACTGCAATCACAGAGTTACACCAGCATAATGATAGCGTCGATGTGGTGAGAATCAATGGGTATCATTACAAGTAAGAGTTTTGACACTTGTGCCCTAATCCCTTTCCAGTGTAATTTTTACCCTTACTCAGGCATGCCGCAGAGCCGATTTCCACGATTCCACCTCACAGAGAGGTTTGACCGAAAATTTGGTGTAAGGGGACTTGTTAACATGTGGGTTGAGATTAGGTAAGAGTGTCAATAGTTCAGGGAGGCTTTGTGGTTTTGCACTAAAGAGAGCAAGATCCATGTTTTGTTCGCACCTCAGAAAGTATTTCCTGTGTGACTTTTGGCAAGGTAGTTAAATATTCTGCTTCTCAGTTGCCTGCCTGTAAAATGGAGATATTATCACTTATTCTGTAAAATATCATTTAAAACTTCCTAATGGAAATACACTCATTATTTTGTGTAAGGTATCATTTACACAGGAAGACACATTTTAAAACCTAAATGAATACAGGAAGGGTGCTGCAGGCTCCACGGTGGATATTCTTTTGTTATAAGACCACCAGTTTTATCTAGTCTATGTAACTTCAGAAGGGGCTTAAGCTGAACTGGAAAATGACGACTTGTGCCAGAAGAAGAGCCTCCACTTGAGCAGTAGTATTACTCTACCTGTATAATTACACCAGTCTGTTGGTGGACTTTTCCCCACCAGATTCCTAACTCTTGCTCTCCAGATCCAGGAGGAGAGAGAACAGATTTCTCTTGGAATTAGTGTAACCAACACTTCACCTCCATCCTCATCTCAAGTATGTAAGGATTCTCTCCTGAAATCACAAGGAAATAAAATGTTCCAAAAACAACGGCGAAAATAAAAGCAAAGATGATTCAAAGGCATAGGCAAAAAGCACAATAATCTGAATATGACTTCATCAGCTGATATTCAAATGCATTGTCCTTTATATGTTTTCAATATCAGCAGTATTTTAAGAGGCATATCATCCTTCAAGATTTCCCTTCTTTGTCCCCATTATTCAATGTCACGGTAGGAAGATGAGAGCATTACCATCGATATCACTTTTTTAATTCCATGCCCTTGAATAAGGGCAATAAGAACCGCGCATAATAGAGTTTTCAGCGGAGAGAGTAAATGGGAATC